CCGCGTGCCGGGCCATCAAAATTCGGCATCACTGTTCTGGACCTTTATCACCACACCTTCGGTGGCAGGTTGAACTGTTTACTTCGAAAAATCGTTCCCAAGCCCTACAACTCCGAAAGACGCGTCCCAAAAAGCTTTATTGGCAGCTGAAAATTTTGTGATTATATAATAACGGCGCGACCGATCATTCGATCGACCTTACTGACAAACTATAACAAACGAGGTACGAGTTAGAACTGTTATAGTGTCTGTTTATAAGAGACTAAGGGCGCACGCGGGCAGCCGTAAAGCACCGGCAGAGGTCCAGGAGCAAAAATTTGGAAAAAAGGAAGAAAAAATGAGATTTTTCAGCAAATACTTGGTCGGATATAGGGTAAACCAACCCTCCTGGACCAAGATTTCCAGGGTAAATCAGCATCAAAGTTCAGAAAAAATCCAACCGACCTTTTAGGTAGTGACCGGGGGCCTCCTGTCGTCGTACTGCTTCCTTGATGTCCAACAAGATATGCCGGAGCTTCGCTCCGGCGTGAGAGCACAAATTGGAGGATCTTCTCTGGCTTGAATTTTCAGTGCCGTATTTGAAACGTTCAGCAAGAACTCGAAGGCCCGAGAAGTTAGTATAAGCTTGACATTGAGTGTTCGACTTGGTTCCAAAAATCATGCTCGTCTGGCCTCTCCACGTCTTATATTATTATGCCTTCGCTCCGGCCATTTTTTTGCAATGGCATCTCACTGAACAGATAAATAAAAATTGCTGCACTGAAATGGCCTTCCAGCTCATGATTGATTTTCAAATCACGTACTTCAGATGACTTAGGAGAAGAGGGTAGGAACGTAAACATGTCTATTCAGTAATCGACTACCGGTTTACCACCAAAAGACCACATGCGAAAATGAGAGGAACAGAATCACAGAGTTGGCGACAGATTTGAGTACAGAACTTAAGCTCAGCACTCACCATGGGGATACAAAACATCATCCGTTGTGGATCCGCATAAGGTTAAACCACATCTAGACAAAGTAATCATATGGCACTGGTGGAGCATTTCAAGTTTTTCAGTGGAAATATTGGTGAAAAACTTCCTTTATTTTATACGCTCTATGCCGTGCGTCGTCTGGTGAACAAATCATATTTGCGGCCTAAAGCGGGGAACCGCGCTGGAACCCAAGAGAAGCGGCAGAAGGGACTGCGAGACCTCAAATGGCAGCAGACACGGGCCAGAAGGAGAACAGCCTCGGAAGTCCAGAGGACTGAGAGAGGCAAACCGAGGATGCGGCCAAACAGGGAAGGATTGATCACAGAGTCGCAGGCGGACGGGATGATGTTGGGATAAATGCTGAGTCTGCAATAGAGAGAATTTTCGGGCTAGGAGAGTGTGACAAATGTGGCGCGAGTTCAAACATGCGCGTGAATTGGAAGCGGGAAGCCGCATCAGCAATGCCATTCTGCTTTGTGGGAATCCATTGCGACTCGAATGCGAAGTCAAGTCGACAAGCGAGGCCGAGGAATTGCCGAACAAGCTCCATAGTGGTGGAGGAGCGGATGGTCAGGTTGCGAATGGCCGAATCAACATCCTGATTGTCGGTGTGGAAAATAACGTGTCGACCAGTAAATGCAGGACCCCAGCAGAGAATTGCGTGGATTATCGCGTAGAATTCTTTGAATTGAATATCGCGCTTGGTATATCGATGGGGCATCCGAATGGAGAACAAGTTCGAGTTGAAGAAGCCGCCGGCGCCCTTCGTTCCACTGGCATCTGTATAAATGTGGAGAATCTCGCGTTGAGGAAGAAAGAAGTGTACACCATTCCAACAGGAGGAGAAAGTCGACCACCATTTCATATCGCGTCGCATGAGGCGACTGATTCGGCGGCGTGAAAAGGCAGATTTGAAAGTCGAAGAAAATTCGAACATTGAGCGGAGGAACGCCCGAGAGTAAGGGATAACCTGCGAACAAAATTGGAGGTAACCAGTAAGCTCTGCGAGCTTGTGTTGGGTGCAATGTGATTTCCTGCTCCACTCGGCAAGAAGATCCCGAAGATAAATGAGTTTATACCCAGGAAGGCGAGCCTCCATACGAATGGAATCGAGGACGATGCCGAGGTACTCCAGAACAGTGGTCGGACCTTCCACCTTGGACTCCTGGAAATTTAAGCCAAGAACCTGAGCAAGGCTGCGGGTCCATGGGAGAGCCGCATGTAAAATGTGATGTGGGGTGTCACAAAGGAAAATCTTCAAGAAATCATCCAGGTAGTGGCGGATTTTGGCAGGGAGATGGTGTTGGAGTATCCAGTGGAGGGCTTCGGAAAATAGGAGAAGTGTTTGACGCGCCAAACACGGTCTATGCAGGCGAGCACACGCGACGCGTCGCGTCGCGTCTTCCCCTTTCGGCTTCCTTTATCTCGACACATATATATATGCTCTTTCATCTTTGTACTTCTTCGTCCTCATCTTCTACCTACACTCACACAGCTCGATAGGTACTGACTGCGTCCTCATCTTCTACCTACACTCACACAGCTCGATAGACTAGATTTCTTTTCTCCCACCCTTGCCGCTTTCCCTACTTAGTTTTTTCTTGAAGCTCATGTATTTCGCCGAGGCCGGCTCGAGCGCGGTCCCTTACGGGCCGAGCGAGAGAGCTCTGGCGACCAATCGATTCTCGTTTGTCCCCAAAACTCTCCCTCTCTCTCCCAGGACGAGCAAGGCATAGATTGAAAATGTAAGGGGCCGAGCGCAAGCCGAACATGAGGAATAGCTCGTAATAACAGCTGCCCTCCCAGCAATAACCAAGGAGTGGCCAGTCGGGTGGCCACTGACTAGATGTCTACTGACATGGAACCAGAGAATTCGCTGGAACATGCAGGAAGAATTAGGATTGTAGTATAAATACAGTACTGTACTTTTTCGTTGTGATAGACTTTGAAAGCGGCCAAAGAAGACATGACTCATATCGTTAGTGCTTCTTCGTCTCCTTGACCTGCTCACAAACTACACGACATCAAAATTTGGACATCCGGAACGAAAATTTTGACTTTTTTGTGTCTTTCCAGCGGTTTTGGGCCTTCGGTCACGCTCGGGAGGTTCGACAGAGCGCTGCGGAATGCGTGGTCCCGATAGGATTTCGACATCGACACCGGGGTGCATGACGCGCGATTGTCGAATTGAATGAAAAAGTACATGTCATGTCAATTCCAAATATGATCGTCCATCTGTGGTGTAAACTACTCCTAACAAATTTCCAGGTTCTGCCGTGGCCGTACAACGGGTCTTTCGTGGTGGGAGAGACACTATCTCTCTTCGCGGTGCACGGTTGAAGCGGAGCTTGATGTTACTTCAACATCACCTTCGGTTAAAGCGTAAATCCATTGACAAATGCGGTATAATCCCAATCGCCGTACTCAGTTAAAAAGCAAACCAAGAATACTCGGGTGAAATTTAGAGTCGTGTTTTACATTCATCGCCGAGACAAGTAATCGAAAATTTAAATGGGTAGTTGAATGTCACCTTCCTTCCCTAACTCTGCGACCCAGGCGAACTAGCCCTGGCTCTGGCAAACAAACTCCTTGCCGTCGAACACGCTCACCATCGGATATCTGCAGAACGTACGATGGGTATTGTTCGCGCCAGAGCCGATTATAGTTGGCGGCGCAACGCCGTGCTCGACCCAGTCGACGAGCGCCAGCAGGATGTTGTGCGATGTGTCGTTGATGATGTTCGACCCGGGGGAAGTTCCCTGCCCAAATGCTGTCGGGCCTAGTCCTCCGCCGCAGTGTCCCATCCCGGGGATGAGGAAGAGCCGGTAGATGGCCAAGGCGCCTTGGCCATCTCGGGCTTGTGCTGGATTGCTCATCTCCCACAGATGCCGTGCAGCCCGTGAGCAGGCCAATGAGACGAGTAAGCCTTCTTCTTCTGCCGCTTTCAAAGCCTATCACATGACCGCGCGGCCTACGTACATAAAGGTTCTCCAAGCTTTTACACTGTAACATTTTGCAAAAGCAAAAAGAGGAAGCAAGAAAATGGTAGCAACCTCGGCATCACCGCTCTCAGCCAACCAGGCCAAAGAACTCAAAGCCCTCCACCAGCCCGGGCACCCCATCGTCTTCGCCAACATCTACGACGTATCCTCCCTCAGCGCGCTCCTCTCCCTCAATACCAGCGCATCATCCGTCCATGGCCCCGTGCGCGCCATCGCCACGGCCTTCTATGCGATCGCCGAGACCATCGGTGTCCGCGACGAAGATCTGACCTTCGAGCAACACTTCGCCGCGCTCGAGCGTATTACCACGCATCTCCGCACCGTCTCCTCCCTTCCCTTGAGCGTCGATCTGCAGGACGGCTATGGCACACGGCTCGAGGAGTGCATGCGGCGCGCCGTCAGCCTCGGCGCGGTTGGCGCCAAAATTGAGGACTCGATCCCGGAACACGGCTTCGCGGCGGGCGTGGAGGGTAGTATACGCAGCACGGAGGAGCAGGTGCGCCGAATCGAGACGGCGCTGCGCGTCGCGGCGGAGGTGAGCGTGCTGGACTTCGTAGTCAATGCGCGCACGGATGTGATGCGGTTGGCGCCGCGGCCGGAGGGGACGGTGGAGGAGGCGGTGAGAAGAGGGATGGCGTTCCTGGAGGCGGGAGCGACGACGGTGTTTCTGGGGAGGGGGGTAAGCCCAGGTGAAATCAAAAATGGAATATACATCATCGATTCGGACGCTGGGAATGGAACCTAGGCTTCCCGTCAAAATTGCACGCTATCTTCATGGCATGCGGGCGTGCGCCGTACACCACGTCCGAATTCATGGCCCTATTCTGAAGAAAGTTAAACCCCTAATCATTGGATATCAAAGTGCGTAGCTGCGTGTTTTTGAACAGCTATGATTATTTTCCGAATCCTGTTCCTAGCAGGCTAGACTTCCGCCTCCAACCTGCGAGCGTCTAAACAATAAACATGAGCCAGGCATGAACAATATCCAGGATGGATCAAAAAGCGAATAGAATATTCCCTATTTGGATGCTGGGAGTTGAACCCAGGCTTCCCGCCGCATATAGCGTCGACTACTTCAAAGCATGCGGGCGTGCGCCGTACACCACATCCAATTTACTCCTGTGAAGGTGTGCCGGAATAGGCAGCAGAGCATCGTCAGTGGGTGTGAGCTGGATGTACCTTTTTTATTGAGAGAAGGGCTTACGGAGCGGATTCGAGCCTGTTCGCAAGTGCGGCGGAATTTGGTGAACGCGTCATTCGAGGACGCGCTGGAAGGCGGGAATACATATCTGGAATGAAGGACGACATGGGCTATGTGCAGGCGCTGTACATTTGGCGGCATTCGCAGGCATGTACGCGTCCAAAGGAGCGTGTGTCTTGAATTCGGCGGGCAGGGTGAGGGCATTATGCGTTTGAGCGTTATGTGTTTGAGCGGGAATTAGCACAAAGCCCCCGGAGGAGAGCGGATACTTACACTATGGAGCACAACATTCATGCGGGATTTTGGACCTGGGCAGGGAGCGCATGTGGAAGCGTGAGGATTAGGCGCAATACTAAACGATATGTCAGCGCAAGGACCCGATGGAGGACGCCGCATGACTACGTACGTTTGGAATCGGCGCCGTCGACGACGAGCATGTTGCGCGGGTCGGGTATGCGAACCGGGGGCGGGGGGATGTGGATTGAACGTGGAGCAAGCTTATCGAGCAGGAGCGCGTCTGGAACTTGGAGGTGGCGTCAGCGCAGTACGGGCAGATGAGAGCGGGGAATGTACAACGAGAGCGGAAGTACGCGACCTTCTGCGGCGCGCCTAGCAGAACGGGCGCTGGGCAGCAATTTCATCCAGTCCGAGTCGCTGCGTGCAATATTGCGGGGAGCGAAGTGATTTCGTCGATGTCGTCGAGGTGGACAGAAGGAAGGAGAGGCGCCATCAATTTCCCACCGGCTCCGTAGTGTGATCCGAATAGCGGCCCGCGGTGCCGGCACCTCCCTTGCTTTCGCAACTGACTGGCCACGACTCAGAATACTGCAGCCCCGTCCTTGGCTTGCGGTACTTCCCGAGTTCCAACGATGGTATATACCGACCCAGTGGTGGATGGTCCGCATGAGCCGTCCGCGTTTGTGCATTCCATTCCCTCGCAGAACTTGCCCGTTCGATTCGGGCCTCGGTCGTCTATTCACCAAAGGTTTCGCACTTTTTGCCATTTACGGTGTCCGAACTCTCGTGGGTTATCTCTTGACCCTTTCTGACTGCTGCCTGCTCATACTCTGATCTCCTAGATAGTTCTGAGTGAAGACTTGCCATTCTGCGAAGAAATGGTATCCGTGCCTACAAATTGAAATACCCACCTCCACTATACGGATCCAGTAGCGGATGATTCCTCCTCTGCCTTCCCTGATAATGATTGTCCGCACGTCGGTTGCAGATGGTCGCCCGTTCGGTCCGTGCCCGGGTACATAAAGCTTCGACAAGAACCTTTTTTTTTTCGTCGGCCTCCAATCTTCTTTCGAATTCCCGATACATTGCCAACAAACGCAAGTCCCACCCTATTTTCCTCCCCGAGGAACATGCTTATAATATTGACTCGCACTCCGGTCCGAGTTCGGGAATTAATTCCACAGCAAGTACCAACGTTACACGGTATCGACCCAGTAGCGGCTGGTCTGCGTCTACTTTGCTTCGGTCTGGGATTTCCCATCTCTTGGCGAAACTTCCTCGTTCAATCCAGGCCTGGATTCATTCCGTGAGCTGTAGCAATGCTTTTTGTTCCTCCTCCTGGTGATGCCTCTTGTGTAACTGAAAAGACTCATGAGTCACTACTTGTAATACTCCAGATCCATGATCCTGTCCCAATGTGAGAAAGGCATCTCTATTACCAAGCTCCTCTCATACCACACTCTACTCGACAGAAAAGCTAATATATCCTCATTGGAAGGCCCCGAGCACTCTAAATACCTAATCAGGTACAAATGAACCACAATAACGACCCGGTAGCGGATCGTCCGCCGCAGCAATTTATATGTATGGCTGGGCAAGAGAACTGCCATCGCGGATGAATTCAAACGAAGTTCAACTTTTCAAGACTTGCACGTGATCCGACGCGTAGCTGAGAAGAGCCAAACACGTACATACACTGTGCGGGTGTGCGTGAATATTTGTTCTCGGGCTCGTGTGGAAGAAGGATCTTCGGTATTTACACTGTACAGAGCATCAACCGGTCGCAGAGACGCATCATCACACAAAATAACTCGGAGAGGAATTCGGACCAAGGAATAAAATGAGAGAAGCAGAAGTTGATCATGCCACTCGTGTCTATGAAGCTTGTGAGGGTAGCGCTTTGGCCTGCAGATTCCACCAGTGAGAGTCAGTGTGAAGCAGGAGAAACCATCAACTCCTATGATGTCAGATATGAACAAAGAAAGAGGCCGATAAAAAAGATCGGACGCTGAGAGCCGAGCCCAGGCTTTCTACCGAGTCTTAGGGACCGAATAATGTGCAAGAATTGCGGGGGTGCTCCACACACCACGTCCGAGTTCATAACCCTATTTTCAGGCTAAATACTTAATTATTGAATATTGCGCGGCGTACCTGGGTACTTGGGCCAAGGGAGTTGAAGTTCACGCTTTGAGCTGGCAATGAACCAGAAAAATAACTCACACCAGCGAGGAAGGAGAAAAACGGATAAGTAGAAGATTTTCATTATTCGGACGCTGGGAGTCGAACCCAGGCTTCCTGCCACACAATTGCTCTTCATGTAGGATATGCGGGCGTGCGCCGTACACCACGTCCGAGTTAGTGTACTTGAAGTGTACTACCGTAAGTAGGAGAATCAGCGGAGATGAACTGGATGCATTGAAAGGTGAATGGAGCATCTAATTCGGAAATGAGGCAGAGATCTGCGTCATTGCGTTCCGACCGGCCCGAGCCTCAGGCTGCGCTGCGCGGTCGGAACGCAGTGTGCATGCGGGTAGCAGGTCACTCATGTAGAGGCTCCATATACAACTATAATTGCATCGCGGGCGGGACGTGGATCTGGAGTGATTGTCAATTTAGTTTCAACTTTCCGTCGTTCAGGATTTGCCTACACCAGATCGGAAAAAAAATAGCCCAAGAGAAAATCGACCAGTGGGGGTTTTTGGGGGAGGAGATATTCGTCAACGGGTTGTGAAGTGGACACACTTTTTGGTTGAAAGGTGAATAATCAATACAGCGGCGCGGAGCTGGGCGGCCGATGCGATTTGCATCGAAGAGTAACCTTGAATCTGCAGCATAGCTGGCTTCTAAAAATCAGGTAGATGCAAGGTAAGCACAGCATGAGATAGGCGCACCCTCGGCGGGCTCGCTCGTGTGGGAACCCGTATTTCGATCGACGCGCATCTGAGCTCTGACATTAAAACGCCTCCACAAATGGGATGGAAGCGCGTACTTACTATTTTTGTGCGCAGCAGGCTTGGTGCGTAAGCGAGGCGGGATCTGGATCACGAGTTGGGACGCACTGGCGGCGTACGCGGAATGTATGGCCTGAGAGCGGGGTGCGTCCGGCGGCGGACGCGGGTACGTACACGCCCAAGGGAATGCATATCTTGAAATGTGCGGGTGGCCGGCGAGCATCCGCAGTGGGGTTAGCATTAGCGTCTTTTAAAGACAAAGAATGCGCGAAGGCCAGCGCTATTTAATTTGGACGGAATGTGACTACTTACATGATGGACAACAACCTAGAGCATTCTTCTTGGATTTGGGACCGGAACTGACATGCGCATGTCTGACAGCAGCGCAGTACGCATGAGCGGACGTCGAACAAACCAAGGCGCAATAAACGACATGATAGACGCCGCAGGTGTAAATAGCTTTGGGATCGGGGCCTTCAACGGCGGGTGCTGGAGCGGAATTGAACGTGCGGCGAGCTCCTCCAAATTAGAGAGCAGGGATAGCCAGCGGAGCGAGATTGCGCGCGAGGATCTGCAGCGCACAGGGCGGCTGTAATGCAGAGGGAGCGCGTACCAGCGAGGCATGCGCTGGACAAACGTCAGCGGCTGACGGACTTCCGAGTGGTGCCAGCAGCGAATCTTGCAGCAGAGCCAGAAACTTACATCTTGAAAGACGCGGATTTCATCTAGCGCGTGTAATTACAGTGAGTCGAGTGGAAGAGCATTGGGCATGGTGTACTTCCGGGAGCGAACCTTTGGACGGACGCGCATCTGGCGTCAGGTTGTGCGGGCGAAAATGATAATCCGAGTCGCCGCGTGCAATTTGGAAAGGAGCGAAGCGATTGTCCTCGATGTCGTCGAGGTGGATGGAAGGAGGCGCTCTTGAGGCGCCATCAATTTCCCACCGGCTCCGTCGTGTGATCCGAATAGCGGTGTAGAAGAAAGGGTTAGTCCTGAGGTGGACTGAGTTGTGCCAAGGTCGTGCACGAAATGGTAGCCAAGCAGTGAACAGGTATGTCCCCTTCGTTGGATAAGATACCGGCCCTAGCGTAGGTCAGTTTAAAAATAGATTGAGGTCGAACACTTAGCTAAGTATGGGTTCGCGTGTACTCGTTTAGCTCGGACTCAAATTAGGCTCAGGCTCGAGAGTGAGAGTGGGGGAAAAAAAGTGTGTCCTTCTCAGTAATAGGCTGAGTGGTATTTATACATGATTGGGATGGCTGCTCGCGTACTCTTGCGACACCAGAGCCCGCGATCGACAGCTGAAATGTATACATGAAACAATTATGTATGTAAGTGTCCATGATTAACCTGATCGGCGACGTATGAAACATGAGGTGGAGAATGGAGAGCGGTCCAGACCAAAATAACCAAGGAGGTAACTGCATACGCGCGGGAATACGATGGAATCGAGCGATCCGAGAGAAATAGCTTGGCAGTGCACAACAGGTATTTTTGACCATGCAGCTGCAGACCGAGGTGATGGCCTGGAGACGAGCAAGCTGTGGAGGAAGATAGGAAGATGAGTAAAATATATCGAGAAGGAGAAAAACAAAATTTGTTGAACCGGTGTTACCCAATTTGGGTTCCACATGTATCCGGTCCGAATGCCGAAGGCGGTGAGCAGGGCGAACCGCACTTCCACAGCGGCCGCGCTGCCAGCATCTTGCTTCTTTCCTTCACA